CCCTATCAGTTAAGTCAGTTGTCCTAAAAGTCCTTCAGGGATGGCGACTAAAAAGCTGAACCAGCACATCCCCTATCAGTTAAGTCAGTTGTCCTAAAAGTCCTTCAGGGATGGCGATTAAAAAGCTGAACCAGCACATCCCCTATCCGCAAAGTCGAAAAAAACTCTTTATAACGTTCAACTTGCCAAAATGTCTGTGGGTACTTACCCTATGGACGGCTATGACACCAAACTGAACGAGTCTGTGCGATGCGCCGCTCGTAGATAACGCAAGGCTTGGCAAAATCACCGTTATCAAGTTTAGTTTTCTTTCAAAACTTAATAATTTGCATGGGCAAGAAATAATGCGTATCTAAATAAACCTTATTCGATGAAAATGAAGAAAAGCTTCAACTTATTCTATGAAAATAAACAACAGCTCCGAAAAATCCTTTCCACACATTTACATCCTTTCGCAACATTTTTATTTTGTTTATATTTCTATGGCACGTGTTCAGTTGACATCGACTTGTGTTTGGAGTAGTACGTATTTGTTTTTCGTCTGCGATTTTTTAATTGTTTTCGGTGTTTTTTGTGTGTTTAACTTATGTGTTCTCTGTGGTTTTGTAAAAACTGATTATTGCAGATACGATATCTGCTTTTGTTTTCTGTAAATATAATAAAAAAATTCAAAAAAAAACAAAAAAGAAAAATAAAAATAAAATATTGAAAACAATTCTCATCACTCGGCGTTAGGCAAACAATGTTTTATACAAATGCGTGAAACTCTAAAAATCAAAACGGAATATTACTGTAGCATGGGTGAAGCGCGACGTAAGTGCCGAGAAATTAATCCATCTGGAACCCAAAGAATTAACAGAAGGAATACTTACGATGTTGTCGCCTCACAAATCGAGCCTAATAAGCTTTTAACTCCTTCCAAAGAAAAACTTGCTCTACCATCAACCAAAAATTTTATTGCGAAACCCGTCCCACCACCCGTCAAAGATAACATTGAAAAAATTAAAACAACAGCAAATATTGAAAAAATTAAAACAATATGCCAAAATCTAATAAACTAAATCCCCCAGAATCAACAGTTCTCAAATCTACTCCACAAATTACAAGCGGTAATGAATCCAATCTTTCATCCCTCAATCAACCTTCAATTTCAAATTATTCGCGTGTGCCCACTCATTGCATTTCAAATTTAAGCAACCACCTAAGTGCAGATTATTCTGCTGGTAAGAACAAATTAGTCACGCAAAATTCTTATCGTGACATTTTCGACGGAGACGCTGACATGTCAACTTAACCTACTTTCCACTCCATGTCACTACAATTAAATAAAGTTTTTAAAATTCTACAATGGAAATTCAAGAGACTTCTTAATAATTTTGATGAACTCAGTACACTCGTAAGTGATTTCAGTCCAACCCTTATATCGCTTCAAGAGACCCATTGTAGAACCTCCTTTAATCCTATTCCACCCAAATCATATACTGGATACTTCACGAATGCTGATCGAAATTTATATTCCAAACAAGTAATTGGTGTTTTTACAAAATCAAGTATACCTCACAAAAGCATAAATTTAAGCTCAAATATACAAGCCGTAGCCATACAAATAATGTTAAACATAAAATTAACAGTGCTTGCGCTTTATATCCCACCTTCGCAATCGTTTTCTCAGCAAGAACTCTACAATTTATTATCCGCATTTTCACCCCCATTAATTATACGCGGCGACTTTAACAGCTGGAATACCATCTGGAGCTCAACAGTGAACAACACTCGTTACTCCAGCAAAACAAGCCAAATTCTTCCTAGATAAAGCGGATTGGATCAATTACTCCAAACACTCCGAATCATTTCTGAATTCACAGCCATTTAACGGGAACTGTAACCGTGATGCTGCTATTATGTCTAAAGCGATTCGCATTGCTCATCTTTCTATTCATCAATCCAACAGCTGTTTTAAACGAGCTAGGGCTCCTTGGTGGAACAACACGCTTTCGTTTCTGAGGAAAAATAAAATGCATTTATGGCACCGCTTTAAGAGATGTCCTGATCAGGATCATTTGTTATTATACAAAAAGGCCAATGCTCTATTCAGGAAGGAACTACGAAAATCAAGGGCACTTAGTTTCGAACTTTT